AGATCCTAAACATTTAAAGAACAAGTTAAAAATTAAACATATTTGTAATTTGTTCTTAATATGTTTTAATACGTAGGGGTTAAGATATATTAGCTAATTATATTAGATTATTAGCCAAAATTAACTTATTTGTTTTTATTTTTTTACAATGGCAACAAATTTCATTTACCAGCAAAATAAATATTTTTTTATTTACAAGTAAAAATATAGTTTTTTAAATTTACCAGATAATGATTGAGCAAAGCTACTTTATAATAAATTTCTTAGTTATACTAACAGTTCTAGCTTCTTTTTCTGTAGGCGTAAATACAAATACGAGGCATTAGTACATAGTACGATGGTTCATTAATTAAATTTTGTCTATAGAAATATGAGAAATAACTATGTAATATAGTAGTTAATTAATTTTTTATGGACAGCTATTTAGTCAATAATTTTAATTATCCTTCTAATATAAAAGGAGAAACAATATTTGAACAGATATTTAAAATTTGCTTTAAGGTATATGTTCATGTTAATATTGAAAATAACAATTTCCATTTAACGTACACGTATTTACATCTTGAAAAGGTGCTTAAAACAAATATTACTATTGATCGATATATACATCTCGTCAAAAATTTACTTATATCCATATAAAAAGTTAGAATTAATTTTAAAATACACGCATATTGATATAAACATTAAAATCAAGAATAAAATATTTATTGATTTATGCATAAAGTTTTCGTAACTTACTCTTAATCTCAAGGTTTGAACACTATTTCCTTCGCAATATTGTTCGTTTCACTTAACCATAAATATTGAGCTGATTCACTGAAATTAGCGTAAATGTTATTACAATTGAGATAGTCTCAATTCCCACTTTGAAACTAACAGCGGGCTATAAAGTTTTAAGTATGATTGGACAAAACTTTCGAACTGAATCAATCAAATGTGGCCCGAATCAAATCGAACTGAATCGAGCGATTCTTCTAAGGTTAAATACTTGAATGGATATCTGAATCGAAAACTGATGGGTTTGGTTTGGTTATCGGTTCCAGACCAAGAACCGAATAACCGAATAAAAACATAATCTCCCTAATTTTTTAAAATTTTTCTATATTAAATAAGCCAAATTATTTTTTCTAAAAAATCAATTTGTTAACTAATTAATTTAGCCCAAACCTAAAATATGATTTTCCTATTTTTAATTTCCAAGTCAAGCATAAACTCAACTTAATCAAATTGACCTAAATTTTGTTGAAATCTCTCATTCTATCGTATTGCTAATTCTTCCATTTTTGAGAAATCAAATTGAAAGCTCAACTATGCCTCTCTTCCTTATTGTCATTTTGGAGAAATCAAAAAGAAAAATTTCTTTATTATTATGAGCTCGCTACCTTTCTCTTCCTGTGATTTTAACAATAAAATATGTGAAGAACTCAACAAAAAGGGCTTAAAAGATATCACAAGATTGAACTACGTTATTCTATAAGAGTTAACATTGAACATGTCATTAGTTGAATTGATGTAGTATTATTGTAACTATTAAAAAAATTAATTAATGTACAGAAATCGAGAACCGAATGAAACATAATCAAATTTGGATCCGACGATTCCACTTATTAAATACCTGAAAATTCGAATTCGATTCCTAATCGAATCGGACCATGTACAGCCCTGATATTAAGTATTTCAATTAGTTTTAATATAAATTCTGAATGTTAGGGTTAAGAGTAGTGTACTTATATAAACTATTAATGAATTTAATATTTTATTTTTCGCACTGAATTAAATTAAAGTTATTTACTTTGACAATGATAACGGCACTTCCTTGCTATCGAGATAAATAATTTTTTGTTGTAAAAATGTGAGATAATGGTTGATGATTATGTAATCTTATTATTATATGTAGACGAGTCTTATTTAATTAAGAAAATCTATTTCATTCCAATTGTAACTCATAATTTGGACCCTATAAATGTATGGCCTTGATTCTTAATAATATGCAAAGTGAGGTTTGATTCTCTATTTCATTTCTTATTTTCTCTTTTTCCTTTAGTTTTATAAAACATTATCAGCACAATTTTCTCAAAATCAAAGAGAATTTATTAGAGGGTAATAATTTTTATAAGCATAATCATTTATGTGAAATTAGTTTGGTGACATGTGATTTTTTAACAAATTTACTTCAATTATTTTCTATAGTTATTAAAATGCATGATTTCTGTTACTGAGTTCAAGCTGCTACGCGAAATTAGAACAATCATGAATTTACTACAATTAATTTGAACACTCAGGATTTCATTATTTTTTGCAGTCCGGTATGCTTCCCGTAATTAGAATCATAAAATGCATGATTTTTATTAATAATGCATATCCAAGGCTGCTGCTTCTTTTGCCAAAATCAATGTGTGTATCGAAGGAATTCATGTTTTAACTCAGGAACATGTCAATCGAAGTAATGATTTGCAAAATAAAATAATGCGATCACACTAAAATAGAACTTATTGGAGAAGCCTAAAATCTCTGGATATAAACTAAAAAGTAGCAATATTCATAAGATAAAGTTCATGGAAAGTTGGGGATGTGTACGCTTAAACACCTAAAGGTGCATAGTTATATAAAATGAAAAATGGAAAAAGTAAAGTCATAATATGAAATGCACGATCCTTTATTTAATGAATTTCTTGAAGACTTGTATAAATGGATAAATTATCAAGTGAAGGATTTAATTACAAGTCTCTATTTCATTAGCGTGACAATGTATAAAATTTGATATGCATGTAATATATGTGATTATTGATAATTTATCATGTGTAGCTTAAATACTATTCTAAAAGGATTTAATATGCCTAAAGTATAATTCAAGTGATATATCACGAGGGAAAGTAAATACTTATTGTACTCTTTTTTCCTTGATCGAGGTTTTGTCTGATTGGGCAGGTTTTCTAGGCAAAGTTTTTAACAAGACAACTTTTGTAGCGTATTCAAAAGAATAATGTACTCATTTTCTTTCATTAAGATTTTTTCTCACAGGATTTTTCCTAATAAAGTTTTTAACGAGACATTTTTTTTTATAATGAATGTCCATAATATACTAGACTTACTCTTAAAATAATGCCTTGATATGTACGAGACTTTCAAAGAGATCAATAGAAGTTATTTTTTCGAATCATCGTGTTACTATAGTCATCAAAAATTTATAGATATTTCGTATGAGGACGGTGTTATTCAAAGACATTGATGTATAAGATATCAATATTAAAGATTTTGACATATAAAAAATGGATCACTTGATACAAAAATTGAAAGCAAGGGGAGTAGCTATATTCTTTTTCATTCAATCAAGTTTTGTCACATTTCTTAACAAGGTTTTAATAAGGCAGCATTTTATTACTCTAAATTATCAGTACTCTTTGTTTCAATTGTTACCATTTTGGTCCCATCGATTTTTTTTCAAATAAGGTTTTAACGAGATTGTTATTATTTAAATAATTATCAAAGGGAGAGTGTTGTAAAACTTTGAGATAATGATTGATGATTATGTAGTCATATCATGATACGTAGATAAGTCTTATCTAATTTAGAAGTATATTATACTTCAATTGTAACTTTCATTTTGGACCCTATAAATATAAGGTCTTGGTTCTTACCCATATGCACAATTGAGTTTTTTAACTCTATTTCTTCTCTTATTTTCTCTCTTTCCTTGAGGTTTATAACACTTTTTTTTTATTTTTGTGTAAAATTTATATTTATATTTACCGATAGTGATAAAACAATTCCTTAAAAAATAATAATAATAATAATAATCGAGAAAATATGAGACATTACTATGTAATAAGGTAGCTAGTTTATTAATTTATTGTACTGGTAGTCTATGAACTTCTTTTTTGGTCTCCATTGTTTAGGAATTTATTTTTTAGCAAAACTCATTTTTAGCCATATATTTTATAAAATGCACCATATTTATTAACTTTTCAACCACATATTTCATCAACTTTTATGAAAATTTAAATTTTAACTATACCAAATAGGGGCTAATTCTTATGAATAAAGATAAGAAACATTATTGCGTATCATGCCAATCATCAATTTTTACATCTTTAAAATGTAAAATAATTAGTAAGAATTGCATGGATCTGTATTCGTGAAAGGATAAGTATATTTATACAAACATCTAGAGTTTGTTTTAAAGTACATGCACATAGGATTCATTCTACTTAGTGATACATCAAGACTTTCATATATCAGTACAAAAATATACAAAATTTTTGAAGAAATAGAATTTGTTTGAAAATACTCGTACATTTATGAAATGACTTTAAAAAAAATATAAAATTATTTATGTACGCGTCAACTTATATTCTTAATATCTGGCTTGTCCACACTTTTCTTCCAAGTGTTCATTGTAAAGTGTCAATATTGCAGCACTCCGAAGGGAAAAAATAAATAAATTCAAAATGAAAACTATAAATATTACACTAATTCACTCGAAATTACAGTGATTATTCAGCAAATTGAACGACATTTAAAATAGGGCGCCCCTGTTTGAAAAGGGTCTACGTGGCCTGTTCAAGTGGATTAATTCTTTTAAATATCTACAATTGAGATAGTGCCAATTTGGACATGTAATAGATGTCATTAATTACAACATGACTTTGAAAAGATCTTTATGAGTTTTCCTTTGGATTTAATATATTTGAATGCAGAATTTCCTCAAAGGCATTTGCAATCTGATTCTGCAACTAATGTATCAACTTTCTGGGGATTATCCCAAATTAAGGAATCTCATAAGAAAAAAGCATAAGATTATTTGTAGTCAGATTTTATTAGGAAAATTTGATTACAATTGATTAGTTTCTTTCCATCTTAGCCTAAGGCAATCTGATTTTTCATGTCTGTGACAAAGTTTACACACCAATTCTTCTCTATATAAACCCGCTCTGTACGCCTCTTAAGAACCAATTACTTGGCTTCAAAAACTGGTCTCTCTTCCCTCTCTCTAAACAGCCATGGATTCCTCCAGTGCCAGTGGTCCTAGCCCAAACATGTTGGAAGAGTCTCCTCACAACGACGTTCAAGAAGAGGCTTTGAGTTCCAAAGAAATCATTGATCAAAGCCAATCCAATGAAGGGGTGGGCAATCAAGAGTCAAGCTTTTCAAAGTCCGTTAGGGCGACAGGATCATCGAAGAATCCACATCCGACTCCACCTATGGATAAGGAAGAGGAGCGTGAGTATAGCTGCAAGTACTGTAACCAGAAGTTCTCGAACAAGCAAGCTTTAGGCGGGCACCAGAATGCGCACAAACTTGAACGAATCATTGAAAAAAAAATCCAGGACTGGCAGATGGCGAACTCCAGATACCTTCCCCGTAATAGTATCATAGGTTCTTTGTTCAACAGATCTCAGAAATTTTTCAGCAGGGCTATGATGAACATGCCATATTTTGCTCGACAGGGAACCATGCAGCATGGAATGATGCGTTATGCGCGTGCATCTCGTTTCCTCACAAGGATTAACGAGGGTCACCCTCGATGGCCAAGGTCTATGCCTGGAAATGTTACCCAGTTTACGGCACGTCCCCGCTCTTCGTGCCTGGAAAATCAACCTACAAGCATTCTTTTTTCGACTCCAAGGCCTGTTCCCAACAGGAACATTCTAGGAGAGAGTAGCAATGTGCTGACGAACGGTCGAGAGACTCAGGTTGTTGAAGATGACTCAGGCCTCGATTTAACTCTCAGGCTTTAATTTGATCGTTTTTAATTGAAGAGTGCCTAGTTTTATGCCTCAAGTCAATTTGATACTACTTATTTTAGTTTATAATCCAGGGTTTAGAATTCGTGTTATGTTTGATGTCTTGTTTGTATTAAGTTTCATGTTGTGGCAATAATTTCTATATTATATTTCTCAGTTAATCCATATGCCTAATTTGCTATCTCTACATTCTGTCAGAAAAATGAATTCATAAGACTGTGAATTGCACATCTGACTTACTGGTTTTTCTTGTGAAATTGTGCATTGGCGTTACTTTTCTAAACTATAAAAATTTAATTTTTAGAATAGTAAGGTTTATTTGTAATAAAAGGTATGTTTGAAAGTTAGGTTAGACAAAATAACTAAATTAAAGGTAAGTTTGACTTATTTTATGCATAATCATCTATATTCAAAGTGGACGTGAACATAGATATCGTTTTGATTTAAACTATAATGTGTTTGGAATTCTAATAATGAGACACTGATAGCATGAATTATATACTCTATAAATGCTAGTATTAAAGAACATTTTCATTTTTAATAACTATGCCTGAGTTGCCTTTGGACCTTAATTTCTTTTCAGATTTCATTATTTTTTTTCACAAAAAAAGGCTATTTATCAAAATAAAGGGAAAGGAGTTCTGTGAAAGACTTTTTGTAAATATTCTTTTATTTGTATATCAATTTCATTTTATTATTTACATCTTAATTCCTGTAATCTTTCATAGATTTCCTTCTTTAAGGAAAATAAAAGACCTGCATATGTTACTTACCAAATTTTAAGATTGACTTAGAATTAACTGATAAATTTATACAATATTGAGTTAATTTACTTATCTAACTCGATCGTTATGATATAGTGTGACATCCAAAAATAATCTAATTTCTAAATCACATAACATCACGTGTCAATATAATTTTATTGCTAACAACGAAATTTCACTTTTTAATATAACTATTCATGTTCAGTTTTGTCGTCCAAATGTGTACTCATAGAATAATTTTTTTAACTCTTAAACATTTACTAGTGTCTTTTATCTCAAACATGGTCTCTCAACAATTTAATAATTAACGAAATTTAATAAAAATATTCATTCACAAATACTAATTAACGAAATTCTTTCCCCCTTTTTTTCGCCCCTAAAAATATCATGACATGCATAAAGGGCACGTGTTAGGCTAGAAAATTTCATTTGTCTCTATTTTTATTATTTTTATTTGATTTCATTGTCATATTCCAATTTTGTGGATTTTAACAATCAAGAAAAAAAAGAGGGGTTAAATGAGAAAAGAAAACCTCAATGTAGGGGTTTACACCGGGTGATTTTGTCCTTTTTCTTCAGAACTAAGCCAAATGCTTTTATTGTAAATTGCGAAAATGGTACTAACTTAAATGGGGGGGAATTTTTTGAATCGGATGCTTCTTTCATATCTCAAAAATAAATTATAAAGTCTAAACATTTGTGCAATAATTTAATTTCTCATTTTTCGCCTTTTTGTTTCATACGATAACATGGAGTGAGAATTCCCAGTGAGAACCATTAGTTCTCGACTCTGAGGTTCAACAATAAACCAAACTAATTTTAACTACAATCGAAACAAAATAAGCTATTTTGATCCATATTTAGTTTACTTTGGATAGTTCAATAGAAATGTCCTTCTGAATCTTAATGCTTGATTAAATAAAATTATAAATTGCTGAAATTATAATATGATAAAAATTGATGATGAATAAGTAGATACTAATTATGAGTTCTATTAAATGTGTCATTAAAATTCATATTTAAATTTGACCATTAACCACTTAAAGCATTTTCTTAATATGATTTATTAATGAGTAATGTTATTTGCAGTTGCTCACTGCAGTAGTTGCCTCATATGGCATCCATGTAGCGGTTAGTAATTTAATATATTAATATGATAGTTTTTTACTGCTTTATGCAACAATTCATTAATCACTACATGTATGTCACGTAAGGCAACTGTCGTGATGAGCGACTGCAAATAGCATTATTCCTTAATAATAATATCCTCCCAAACATAATTGGTGGGAAAATAGAATAAAGAGTTTGGGGTTGGAGTAGAGTTAGAGGTTTCATTTCTATTCTACCCAACATTCTAAAAAGCGTAATGCATGGTAAGAATTGGACACCAAATTTCGGGTTAAGAAAACCTAGGATAAAAAAGTGCTTTCTTATTTTAGTAACTTTTTTGGGTTCAAACTTTGGACGTTCTATGTTAAATTTGACTTTCTATTTTTAAAATTTGTAATAGTTTAACATGTTAATTTATATGAAAAATTTTATTCGGATCGTTAGATTATCTTTATCAATTTATCAATCAAATCAAGAGAGAGAGAGAGAGAGAGAGTTTTGCTTAAGTAAGATAGGAAAGATGTTTGGTAACATTTCAAGTCCATGTATTTTTCTTTATAAAATAAAAGAGTGATGGACTTGGAGCATTACATATGTGATCATGATGGGTTTAGTTATGATATTTGCTACGAAAATTACTTTGGCCCTATATTGACATAATCAATGGACAAGATTGTTCGAAGATACTTTGGATTACGATAGCAAAAAAATTTGACTTCATAAAGGTGGAAATTTCATACAACCAGTGATTTAAACTTTCTAATTCAAAATTAAGATTTGTAAGCTTTTTTTTAAAAAATCATATGGTAATTAAAATTTGAATAATTTAATTTTTATAAAAAAATAAAGTTAAACACCCACCCACACCCAGATTCCAATAGCCAAACCCTAAATCTCTCACTCTTCTCCCTTAGCCCTCATCTTTTTTCCTTCTCTCTCTACGACAAAGGGCACAACATTTACCATTAGATGCGGTAGCGATTGTTGCTCGGAATTGGGCGAGATCTATCCATCTTTTCTTCAGATTTTGGCATATAGCTACTCAGAGAGATGTTGATGCGGCGGCATCGTGAGTGAGCGACGTCACTCAACGTAGTTATGCAACAACGATGGCGTCGACTACGTGCATCGCCACTGCAGCCCAACTCATAGGTTGGTAGAGTAACGGAGATGGGTTTAGTTTTTCGATCTTCTGCCGTCGTGGTGGTTTTTGGTAGTGGTGTTTATTGTCATGTGGCGATGGGTGTGGTTTTTCAAAGGTTGAACCCCAACCTTGAGGGTCCCTCACTGCCCCTACCCTGGAGTATTATGAGGGAGGTAAATCGCAGATTATGCCTCCAAGGATATAGGGTGGAAGGCTGATTGTACACTTGCACTTACCCAAGAGCCAAATCCATATTTCAGGATTCGAACCCTTGACGCGACAGTTTCAAGTAAAGCTGTATTTCTCCACCCTTCCCTTTTACCACTTGGAGATGTGCCCTGGGGGCGCGATGAGCGTGGTTTTTCGATCTACTGCATGGTGGTTTTAGTTATTATCGTAGTCGTTGCAGTGGTTGTCATTGTCCCTATTATTGCTACTCTGATTTTCGATTTATTTTGCTGTTTTATCGTCGGGATACGTGGCAGCGATGAACGACAGTGCAGTAATATTGTGATTAGTGGCAATTTTCGTAAAGGGATGGCGATGCTAATTATTTTTTGGGTGATTTTTGTTGGATGTGTTTGTCATTGGTGGTGGTTGTTACAGTAGTGGTGTTGATGTCGGTGTCAATGTCAGTGGTGGTGCAACTTTTGTTGTGGATCCGATTTGTTGGTGTTGTTTGGGCGACGATGGTGACTATTTGTTGAATCTTGTTGGTGGCGGTGGTTTAGGTAGGGTTGCGGTTGCGGTGGTGATGATTTTGAAGTTGAAAATTATACTTGTTGGACGTGATGCTGCCATGGTGGATTAGGGTTGTGTAGGTAGGGGGTGGGATTAAGAGGGTTTGTGACCAATTATTTGATAATGTGACCAATAATTTGGATATATCGTTAATTAAAAATAACATGTAATTGATAAGATATGACTAATAAATAATATGTGATCTAAAAATTTGAGTTGTAGGTTAAAAATTTGTGATTTGTGACTGATAAATAAATTATAATATATAAAAATTTTGATTTGTGATTTATAAACAAAATTGTAACATATAAAATTTTTTATTTATGATTGTGAAATAATCTGTAACCTATAAAAAAATTTATTTGTGACCTTTTAGTTCAAGAATTTGTAACCAAACTGTATAGAATTGTGATTTCAATATATTTAATTACAAAAATATATTTTAAGTTAAGTTAATTATGTTATAAATAAAATTTAATAATATCTTATTTTTGAAGTTTTAAACCTTCTTTCTTAATTTTGAAATGGATTATAGTTAATATCTTAAATATGAAATTTTCCCTTCATAAAGTTATGCACATTTATAAGGTAACAGGCGTGGCCTAAGTTGGAGATTATTGGGTTTTTTATTTGTGATGTGGACTTAGATATGTAATTAATTGTGCATAAAGACTTTTTAAGGTTAAGCCCAGTTAAAGTGACCTACAAAGAATTAAAGCTATGGGCTTTAGGAATCTAAATGGGAAAATTAGGCACAATACTCTAAAAAAAATTGACTAATTAGATTAATACCCTATTAACTAATTCAATCATATAATTAGCGTAACTAATACTTTCTAGAATTACAAAACCATCCAAACCGCCCAAAACCCAAATCAGTAGTTCCTATTTCAGAAAGCTCTCAAAAATAAACCCTCCTCACCTATTACTCCACTTCTTCTCACCACTCTCGATCGATTTCACTAGTTTTTTCTTTTGCATTGTGTTTTTTCTTTTCAAGTTTCCAAGCAGATTCGTTTGAATTAATTAATACATATGGTGGCTGATCAATATCATCACAGTTTTCAAATTGGAATATGCTAAAAAAGGGTATGTACACAACGTCATATAGGAACTGATCACGACATTCCATGGACTTTTGGTGTGGTCGTCCACGAGTTTGCTACTATAAATAATCAGGCTTGTACGTAGTAGTTGCTTTTTTATTTGTAGAACTCTAATGTTGTTTATTTATT